CCCCCCCCAATATTTTTTAACTTTAAAAAGTTTGCTGAATAAATGAGGTTTAAGAAAAGCTTCTTTTTCTCCCCGAGGAAATCATACTTTTTCTATTTTTTTGTGATTTGCTGTGAAAGTAATTGGACATTAGTAAGTACAGTTTTTATAGAACAAACAGTAAAAAACATTGTACAACAGAAATGCATAAAATAGCTTTTTTGCTGTCTGAGTGAATATTTCCTTAAGGTGAAATTTTAACATTGTCAGTGCAAGAGCAGTGAGAGCCACCATTGCGCCACATAAACTTGGAGTAGTTAGGAGGTTAACACACACAGACTGATCATCATTGATTCATTTCTGCACAGCATGTCTTAGACACACATGCAAATACATACAGACAAACATGGATCTTTAAAAGCTGATGGTGCTGGTATTGCATGTGTAAAGAAAACTCAGGGAAACTGTGCTGCTGTCATCACACAGCGAAGCACACGCTAAGTAACGAAAACACATCTACGCACAAATGCACACAGACCGTGTTCCCGTCTGCATTCCAGCTGTGCCCCAGTGTGTCAGCATTCAACTAAGACAACAAGGCCAGAACTAAAGACAACTCAAATGAAAACAGAGTGGATGAAAAGAAAAAGGGACAGTGTAAGTAAGATGGCAAGCAAGCAAGAGAAAAATAAATAGAGTAGGTGTCAGAAGGAGAGGGACAATGACAAATAGAGGAGGACAGTAAGTGAAAGGGGCAGAAAGAAGGAGCATGAAAAAGATTGGGGTACAGATGAACAGGGAAACAGCAGACAGACACTGATAGAGATTAGGGGGCCCATGTTGTAGTGTACTACTTCGCCCAGCGACAGGAGGACAGGCAGATCTGATTGGTGTACAAAGACAATCTCGCAGCAAATGTGTCAGGGCGTCAAACTTAATCCCACCCTCAGCAAGGTAACAAAATGCAATGACTGACGGCTCTGGGATTGCTCCTCAAGACCGGCAGAGAATAACAAGGTGAGAAAGAGAGACTGGGGATAGAAAGGAAAGAGAGACGGGAAAAAGAGGAAGAAGCGAGACTCAGGAAGACAGAGCTGGGGGCTAAAATTGAAATGTCAAACTATCAAATGATGCCTGTCGACTCTGGCATCTCAGTGGGAATTCTCGGTAAATTCTCTCTCCTGGCTCCCAAACGGTCCACAGCTGTATATGTGTGTGTTTGTGTGTGTGTGTGTGCACGCATACATTAATGCAGAAGTCCCCTGCTAACACACACCCAGCTGTTACCAAAAATCATGCCACTTATGCACTGAACTTCAGTCCAACCATTTTTTTATTTACTTGTTAATGGATGTGAAACATACTCTTCAACACAGTAATGAATGCGACCATAAAAATACATAATTTCTATATATGTAATGTATGCAAGAGAGAACAGAAAACAATATAAGACGACACTGATGAGGACTGCGAAACATTTGGTGGTTTTGCTTTAGTTCTGCTACATAACCGTGCATAAGTAAATAACAGAATAAGCCACAGAACTATCCTCCACTGTCACACTGAGTTACAATGGCCAGGCTCATTGGAATGCAGAAAGTGCACAACTGTGTTCAGTGTGTATATGTGTATAATTTGTGAGCATCATGCTGAGATGTCAGGGCCAAATTCAACATTTAATTGTGGCTAATTGTATAACAAGCTAGCAGGGGAGGCTTATATATGAGGAACGGGGATAGTGTTTACATCACCAGAGTACTTATGGCTGTAATGTGAAGTGCCGAATTACACTGCACTTGACATAATGAGTTCTTTCAACTGTCTTTTTCTGGACTTTGTAAAAAGCAGTGAATACATTGCTTGTGGAATTTCTTTTTTTTTTACATACTCAAATACTGTATGATGAGTAAATGACCCACTGCAGTCAGTTTCTTAACTTTACTATAGGGATGAATATAGACTTCCGTAAGCAGAAAGGGTTCTTTTGGTGTTAGAGCTTATAATATCAACCAGCTTAGTTACAATTGAAGGGGAAGAGATGGGTTGCACTTTTAGTGATGAAGCAAGCAAGAGAATACCTGTATATTGGTGTGTCCCAGGTCCCGCCCGATTACGATTCGTCCATCTATTAATCTGGCAATGCGAGGCTCTTCTATCTGCAGAATACAGAAACAGGAGGCAGTCAAAGGATACATTATTTATTGTTTAGAAAGAATTACAATAATAATATACTATTGGGTGCATCTCTTAATTTTTGAATTCAGGTGTTTTCAGTCCTATTCCAGTGTGATACTATGATACAATTTACTGCTATACCAAGTCAATTTGTGAAATTTCTGTCCTCCTAGATATACCACAATCAACTGTAAGTGATATTATTACCAAGTGGCAGCTCAGGTACAAAGTGGCAGACCATGTACATGTAAAATTACAGAGTAGGGCTGCTGAGTGCTGAGATGCATAGTGTGTAAAAGCTCTGCTGACTCAGTAACTGCAGAGGTCGCAACCTTCTTAACATCAGCAGAAAAAGCGTGTGTTGGGAGCTTCATGCCATGGGTTTCCATGGCAGAGAAGCTCCTGTAGGTGCTATAGTTGTTCACACAGTTCATCTGTAAATGCAAAAAATCAGGACGTATGTTTTGCACTGTCTATATATTAAGCCACCTTACAAGTACTTATTAGAAAGTGTCACTGCCCATAGCTGTGAGCAAATAATTTATATCCCAAAATGTTAAACTATTCCTTTTGTGAAGAAGCCATGATCTGCAAGTGAATAGAAGGGTACTGTTTGTGAGCATTTGTGTATACCCACCTTTAATTGGTCCAAGACCAAATGAGTGATATCAACTTGCCAGTCAGCACCCAGCATGTAAACCATCTCTCCACCTGGGTCAGAAGGTTCTGCGACAAAATGAGTGAGGACCCGCACCAAAGCATACTGGTACTGAAAGGTTAGAACAAGGCCAAATTCAGACTCTGATGCTAAAGTGCACAACAGACTCTTACTTCAATGCTTGTGATTAAACAAAAACATGGCACAGAAGTACAACTCAGTATCAATAACTCAGTATTTAGGCAGATATTATTCAGATTAAACTGCCTTTAAAAGAGTTGTGATCACTCAGAAACAATACTGATTTACAATCAAATGATACCTGTAGGGTGCAGCCTTTGCCCTTTCTGTCATCGTCCTCATCATCTTCACTGTCTCTGGTGGGTCTGAAAAGAAAAGAGATAAATAAGGAAGAAAGAAATAAAATGAAGGGATGGTGAGATTATCCAGTAATTAAATGTCCCCTTTCCTCTCTCCTCTCAGCTCCAGCTGATGTACTGAATAATCTCATCTTCAGCTTACACTTTAAGCCAAATAAAGGACACTTGAGTCTCTAATCTACATTTAACACATTTAAACACTTTACTTGAACATTAAGCACTTGTAATAAGACTAGGATGGTCAAAATATTTTAAACGTAACTGGTCAATTTTCTATTCTTGTGTAATACTATCTGTTGGGCAGCAGTAGATCCAAACTATAGAAATGAGTCTTTGCAACGTTATAAACAACATCAAAAATCTTTTACATTATAAGAATTACATTAAAATGAAATGGAACAACATATGTAAAAATCACTATAACTAGGGGATTTAATAGAGTCTTGAGCAGAACTACATTTGCAACACTACTGAGTCAAAACAGAATTATTGTTTGACTCAGTTTAACTTGGATTCTTTAAACCACCTTTAATTGGTCCAAGACCATTCTTCTGCTTTCATATGGTACCAAAAAGTAAAAAAAAACAAAAAACAACTAACTAAATCATTATATTTGTATTTAAAAATATTGGTCAATGTATTTTGTGTTGTTAATCTAGTAAGCAGCAATCTACTAATAAATAGACTTGCAGCTAAGACAGCTGCACGTCTTTCTTCTTAATTATTTCTTTCTTTTGCAGAATATAGAAAAATACAGTAGTCATTAATTAAATCAGATCTAATCTAATGAAATAAAACATAAGAAATATAAAATGTACTATGAATGTACTAATTTTTCAATGCTAAAAAACAAGAAGGCAACTTGTCTCGATTCGTCTCTAAATGAAAATGTATTTTTTATCTCAGAAGGATGCAAATAAACACATTCTTTCTCCTTTGCCTGCCTCTGTGAAATCTATCATTGACCATATACAGGCACACATAGGATCATATAATCACATAAGAATATACACACAGAGGACTGCATCTGTGTCTTATATCTTTACAGTACCTATGAAACTCAGGTAATATTACAGGAATTTTCTTTCCATTACCCAGTGCCCCAGTTGCACATGTGTCTGTGTGAATGTCTCTACCTAATAGTGCTTGTGTTTCACTCTGTCAGATAGTGGTTTGGGGAGATGGAGGTGTGTTTGTGCACACGGCTTGGTGGCTGCGTGAGCAGAAATTGCCAAAATTGAAAAATAGGCCCAGCAGAACAAAATGGAAGGGTGGCAAGATGAGAAATAGGAATAAAACACACAAACACACATACCTGTCATACAAATACACAATCAAAGATAGAAGCACAAATGCATAATGATATTTAGAATCATTAAAAGCTCTGTAAATGATGAAAACTTCCAATGTAAACATTAATGCCAATGTAAGTTTTGGCAAGAAACACTCAATTTCTATTTTTAACATCCTGTTATGTGCTTTGTAACACTGGTAGGAATAAACAATATTGTCAGTCTGCAACTTAAAAGTGATACACCTTTGGTTCAGCTTTGAGAGAATTTGGAAAATATGGCATTGTAAGCTGTAGTGTGTGTATATATATATATATATATATATATACACACCAAAATGAAAGACAAAATAAAATTTCTCAGAGAAGAGTAGGAAATACAACTCAACAAATGCCTGTACCATGAATTTTTGTGACTTCAAAAACTAGCAGTTCCTCACAGTTCACTGCTCGATTCTAACAGAAATTGCAGGTGTTTGTGTTTCCCTTCTGAATAGTCTTAAAATGTGTCTCTTACCAAAGAAAAAAAAGTCTTTGTAGCATAAATGAAAATGGTGTACGTAAAATGCTCTACATTTTGACAAAATTATGCTAATGCCTACACCTTCTACCGTGTGTTACACTCCCCCATTCCCTCAAGGTCAGACAGGCAAATTACCTCTTGTTAGTGATGATTGGCACCCTCCAGCCCTTGACCTGGCTGAGCTCAGTATCTGACAGATCTATCTGAAGCGGTAGCTTGGGCACCCAGACGGTGAGCTGAAGCTGAGCAGATAGGTGCAGGTATGAGAACTTGATGGTCAAAGACTGCCGACCACGCATTTCTTTGCCATTCACCAAAACCTTGTCACAGTTTGGAGAAACCTAAAAATAAATGTATAAATAAAAAAGAGGGAAAAAACAGTTTGATTGAGACTGGGAAAAACGTGCATGCATGTGTGACATTTTAAACAGAAATCAAATGAGTTGCATGAGTTTTTTCCACAGAAACGGATGCAGCCTCTGTTGTGTATTGCTCAAGCACAGCCTAAAGCAAGTTTTCACAATAATCATAGTGTTGCATCCAGTAAGATATTTGTCACTGATTCATAACAAGTTTATTAATCTTGTAAAGCACTTTGCAAAACTGTTCTGTAATGTGCCCTGAAAGAAAAGGTTAATAATGTACTTCTTCCTGTTGCATTAGTGGCATTTCAGGTTTGCGAATTCTCTCTTGTTATCTCCGCCAACGTGAAGCAACATATTAACATTTAACAGCCTCGAATCAGTAAATCGCAGTCATTTTAAGACATTAGCACAATTTCACTGAATACATAAGATGACCAACAAGAATACTGTGAACCACAATACCAGTGGGTTTAGCAAAATGCATGATTTCTTTTTTTTTGTTTTTTAAAAAACAGTCTAAAGCTTTTTAACACTCTATAGTACATATTTGGTAAATTTATTATTATTATTTTTTTAAATTTAATGTTACAACACAACACCTTCTAATACGGTGATGAGTGGAAAGGGGGTTTGACCTTTGACCTCTGGGTAGAGCAGTCTTTTTAGGAACCAAAACTGCATGGGACATAGCGCTGACAACTGGTAGGAATAATGTTTGTTTCTATACATATTTAAAATGAAACAACTTCATTTATAAAATAGGTTTATGGATTTCTGAAGAAGAATCGATTTTTAAATATAGATTTTAATTTCATTTGGTTACGCAAACACTTTTTTTTTATTTGTTCCCAAAGGACAACATTATGCAGTTCAACCATCTTTCTTATTGCATTAATGCTAAAGCAGTTGTTGTCCTGATTAATGCTTGTTTTAGGTGAGTGTTGGGATATACACTTTTAGCAAACCATCCAGTATATGACCCCATATGAACTGACTGGAAAGGGACATAAGGCAATGGAAAATCCTACATTGTATTCTGTTCAATTTTAATCTTTTTCAGTGTTTTGATTAATCAATGTGCTTTTTTTTTACCAGCAATGTCAAAAGATAGAAATAATCAGTCAGATTTGAACAGAAAGTTACAGTTTGCTAAAATACTGCATTGGCCGTATTTGCATATTTATAGCTCTTTATATAATACCTAAACTAGGGATCTGTATAACATATTGCAAATGTGCATGGATAGCCAACAAAGGAACCAAATAGAGTTATTAGGTGAGAAAAGGGAAACAAAGAAAGCAATTCTTCTCCTAGTGACAGCAGAGAATTATGTGTTCAAGTATCTTAAAAATTGGAACAAAAGTTCAGCAGCTATGAAATGAAAGCAAGGGCAGTTACAATTTCCAAACTGGCATAAAGTCAGTGTAATATTATTTATTTATGACTGCTTTAGAAAAAAATATATTGAGAAAATTGCAATATTCAGAAAATGTAATATGTGTAAATATTTAATCATCAGTTGGTGCAAAACTGTGTTAAGTAGACTTTCTCACTATTTTTTTCTTGCCCCACCTATTCTTATTTCTGCATCTTTATATAATTCTATGGCCATTAATCCATTCCTCAGAAGTTTATAACTTCTCCACCCTCTCTGTCTCTACACTACACTTCTCATCCCTCCTCCCACCCTTTCTTTCATCTCCCAGTGCCTCAAATGTTCTGTCCTCCCCACCCATTCCTATTTAACCCTAAAGCATATGAACATCCATTTCCTGTTATCTGACGTCTTCACCCTTTTTTGTTTTTACACCCCAGTCTTCTTCCTTTTCTAAATCTGCCAACTTCTGTTTATTAGGTTTTCCACTCAGCTGCACCTCACATTCAATCCCCGTGTTGTTGAAATTTGTGTATCAGACATCACTGCTTACAGATGACTCATTTAAAAGCTCACACCACCCACACTACAGTTTGTTTTTTAAAATCTTTAACTGTAAACAACTTGGCCTATTGTGCTGTACACCATTAAGGTGAACTCAATTCGTCTAAATATTCATTTTATCTCTTTACAACCTGTTACTGTTAAGAATGATTTAGTTATTGCAATACGACAATGAAAGACAATGGAAATGTTAAATAGAAAAACACCTACATCTTATCACACTTTAATCAACATTTCCCAAAACTACAGTGTTTTTTGCAAAAATTCAAAAACCTTTTTTATACAAGCTGCTACTGCTATTTGGGTTTTTCAGGAAGTTAAATCTACACTGAAAAAAAGGCCGTGTTGGATTTACTTGATTCAGTAGTGGACATTGGTTGCACACAAATTTTGGCAGAAACTTAAACGATTGAGTTAAATCAACACAACTTTTTCATATGTAATAAACATGTGCATTTTGTGTTCATAAAACACGATTGAAACATGTTTAGATGAAGTAAGTTGAGCTCTTGGAATATTTTAATCCTTCACAATTTTGTCATTTTATTTCAACACTATTCAATAACTTTTACCCCAGTACTACTTGGTCACTTAAATACTACATGTTGTCTTCATATTACATAATGTTCAACAAAGTCTAGAGTCTGGTTACCATAAAGATTGAATGGATCTACAATAGCTACGATCCTCCTAACCTTATTCTGGTGCAGGGGGGCTGGGAGATAACCCTGAAGTGATAGGTTACAAGGCAGGACAACTCACAAGTCTATCACAAACCACCATTTGCACTTACATTCACAGGTAATTTAGAATCACCAATTAACCTAACTCTAACAACTGCTTGACTTTTAACTATGGGACGAAACCAGAATACCCAGAGAGAACCCAGTGTAAACTAGCCAGATTGTGGATTTGAACCCAGGACCTTCTTAACGTGAAGCAATAGAACTAACCACCATGCCACCAATCCAGACTTAACAAAAGGAGGAAAGCTATGATTTCAAGGCTTGATGCAGAATTTTTTTGTACGTTTTTGTCCATGACAGGTTAAACCACAATAAATAGCAATAGCATACATGTGTTGTGTGTGTAGTTGTCTGCCTCTTATAACTCCAGTGATTTTCCTGCAGTTTGACATCTCGTGCGATCTTGTGAATTTCATGAGTTCAGCAACTAACCACTCTTACTAGATTGTATCATGTCATATCAACAAGAACAAATTAAGTTGTTGAATTTCATACAGATTCTTCATGATTTAATTACATTCATATAAACATGAAATTATTGTGTTTAAATTACAAGTTAGACTTTTTTAATGCAACAACCACCCAATTTACTTAGAGGCGGCTGCTCGATTTGACTGAGATGGATGCCTTCCTGAAACCACGATCCAAAGCGTGCGAGACTGAAATCCCGTGCGGTGTCGCAGTAAGTTATTGACTTACTTCACTCGAACATGATATGAACAATTTAATCTAGCCTCTCTGCATATCATGTAGTTTCTACACTATATAGTTACACTTAACTTTAAAGCACGAGGCACTTATGTTAAATACACGCAAGATGCTTACGTAAATCCAAGAGTTGGCCAATCCCTTTTTTTCAGTGTAGTCTATTTTGGGTACCGTTTCCAGACAGTGGTTTTTTTTTGTCCTGTTTCTCCCCCCTTAAACTCAGCTGGTTGTGGCAGATGGCTACCCCTCCCCGAGCCTGGTTCTGTGATGGGTTTCTTCCCAGTAAAATTGAGTTTTTCCTTCCCACTGTTGCCAAGTGTTTGCTCAAAGATGGTTGTTCGATTGTTGGGGTTTTATATTTATTGTTATGCTCTTTACTTGTGCCTTGAGGTGACCGCTGTTGTTATGTGGTGTTATATAAATGAAACTGAATTGAAGATTAAATTAAAATCAAAAGAGAACCATCATCTGCGCATATCTCCTCATGTATGGTAAGTTCTCCTCTTAGTGAGATGAATAAAAAAGGGATACTGACTTCTTCCAACAGTTACTCAAAAGTCTGTGATTCAGTGCTCTTGCCTGATGAAGTTAACTATTTTAGTTATAACATCAAAAACATGGTTCATTTTTAGTACTGACTTACTGTACACAACACTTTATGACGTATAATACAGTGCAAAAATACCAGATTCAGTTCTGGGTTTACTGAAGTCACTTTATCTTCTATCCGCTACAAAAGTCAGACATTTTTCACTGTCAGATTTGGACAGCCATCGGTTGTAACACCTGCCAGTTTGCCCATTTCAGCCCAAGCCTATCAAAGCATGCAGTTACCTCCGTAAACAATTCACTCCCTGTCGTGGTCCTTTTCATTCAGCACGTTGCTGCCAGCTCCTCTGTAATCTCAAACTCTTTCATTATCCCATGTACAAAGATGAGTAACTAGGCTGTGTCACAGACATCACAGCTTTTGTCCACAGCCACGGAGAAAAAAAATCAAAATTGTCTGTTTTGTTTTTCAAGCTCCAGATCTTTGAAAATGTCCTCGATCCATTTTGTTATGGTTCGCCTGGAGAGGGGTTCATTCTCAAGTGCTTCTGTATATTAGCACGGTAGAGTGCACCAAATACTCTTTGTGGGAAATTACAAAGCTGGTCTTGACTGCTCTAACCATGTTTAAAGCTTCATAAAAGGTTTTTGTTGCTTTTGTAGCTTTGCTAGCAAATCTACCTTTCTGGTCTATTTCTCTATGGGTGTTTGTTCTTATAATGGTGATTCATACTGTGACCCTTTAGCATATGGAGAACAATATAAGCTTATAAATTTGCTCTCTACAAACAAAGAAAACTGTTTTCATTCTGACTTTAAAAAAATAAACTCTCAGAAGTGCACGTTTATGTTATTTTAATTTCCCATTGAGCTCTCATGGGTCTGTTTGGGACAATGCCCCTGTCTAGCCTAAATAGATAGATGTTAACGAATTGTAAGTGCATAATGTAAGCTCAAACTGAATGCCAGTTCAAAGAGGAATGGTCTGACCAATAATTACTGAGTACTTAAGATGATAATATATTAAATGAGTA